AGATGTGTATAATAGACAGCCCCGTTATAGAGTTATGATTTTTTAAATAACATGATGTCAAAAAATCCGCCCAAAAGCTTATCTTATTTCTGTTGGTTACGCACCGCTGATTCGCAATGTTTGTCATCACTTCAAGATGTCTACCGATTCGTGAAAAAGGCGTATTGAATTTTTTTTAACATACCTAATTCTAATTATAACACTGCCCTCTACTCTATGGATTTTAAAATTTAGAAAGTTAGATGCGAAAGTAATGCCTAATGATTAGGATTAGGCTAATCCTACCCTCCCTGCACTGAATTCGATCCAACTCGGCCACAAGTGAACTCGGCCACAGTCAACTCGGCCACAAGTCAACTCGAGTTGACTTGTGGCCGAGTTGACTTGTGGCCGAGTTGACCTGCACCCCCTGCACTAGCCTAGGCCTCTAGCTAGCTGTACACACAGCAGAGTCGCCTGGACGGCTATGCTGGAAAATATTTTAAACATGGAAGTACATTCATACGTATATATTTTATCTATTAATACCTTCTCAGTTTCTTGTCGCTTCTTTCCCATGATTTCTGCTTCTTAAATATTAAACAAACAACAACAAATAATTCACACGACTTTCCACATGGGCGCAGCCATTACACTGTTTGTGAATACTGTACCACTGAGGCTAGCTAGATATCAGCCTATAGAGGGCGGCAACTTCAATCTCTCGTCGTCGTGCTTGATCTCTCGTCACGTTTTTCAGCCCTCGAAGTCAATCGCCACCATTGATCAACATCGCTACCGCAGTCAACAAGTAGCGAGTCGAGTGTAGGCATAGGCCTAGGCTTAGTGAATTTATAATGAGTTGGCTAAGGCCAAGGGTCTGGATGAATTTTTATCGATTTTTTTCCAATCAATATTCAATGGTTAGTTTTATTAGGTATTTCCAAGGTATATGATGTTAAATGATATTTGCATATACGATAACAACGACGAAGGAAATATAATAATTGAAACGAGCTAGCCTAGGCTAGCTAGGCCTAGTACTAGTAGTAGGCCTAGGGCCTAGCCTACCTTGAAGCCTAGGCCTAGGTATAGCCTAGGTAGGAGAAGAGAGAGTGGCCTAGCTTTCTCGGCTGGACCTAGCCTTAGGCATGCCTCGGCCTAGTTAGTTGGTTAGGTCCTAGGTAGGCTAGTTAGGCTAGTAGTGTAGCCCTACCTGGTATGTATGCTCTTGCCCCCCCCCCCCTACCTAGCCTAGGCCTAGTAGCTAGGCTTGGGCTGGGAGGTTAAGCATTTGTGCATCCACAAGCTCTTCCGCAGACCTTGCACAGTTTGCAAACTGCAAAGAAATCTTGCACAACTTGAAAATTGCAAGGATTTTCTTGAAAACTGCAAGATTCTGCACATGTTTACAAACTGTGCAAGGAGATTATTGCACAGTTTTATAATACACAGCCAATTTGCAAATTGTTCGGTATAGCTTGTACACATATTTATCAATTTGCACTTTTTTATACTATCTTTATCGATGGGTAGCTGTTTGACCAGCGTGACAGTCAGAAACATTCTGTAGAACACAGGTTGGCAAAGTGCGGCCCGACTTTTTTTTTTGCGGCCCGCGAAAATGGATTAAAAATCACAATAATTCCTTCAATCTGATTGGCTAAACAATAAAACATTACAGTAGGTCATTTTTAGCTCTGATGAGGAGCTCTAGAAACTCTCGACTGACAATAGTTATCAAAGTGTGATATAGTGTAGTGTTATACCTCCAGAATGCATAATGTAGTTATCAAAGTGTGATATAGTGTACTGTTATACCTGCAGAATGCATCATGTAGTGGACATAACCACATCTTTTAAAATATTATTAATGTTTAATGTTATAATATTGCAATGGTAAATAGACATTTTTAGTCCAACCTGTATGTATTTAAATTATTGTGTCATTTGGTAATTGTTTTATTTTTACTTAGCAGTACACATTGAGTTTGCTTTAAACTTTAGTTATTGTTTTTTTGATAGTGTTTTTGCTGTGTAGAGAAGCAACATCAATATAAGCAAATAGTGTATTGTTTGATTGACTACCTACATGAAAGTGAAATGAAATGTTGCATTTAACTCTTTTTTACCCCAGGAAACTAAGATACCAAAGTATGTGAAGATTGTTGAGGTAGGTCCACGGGATGGACTCCAAAATGAAAAGGTAGTTTTTCTGTTTTATCAATTTTATCTGTTTCCAAATTAATTCTACCTTATTCATTCAATACTGTACATCATGGCTTAACTCTTGATGGCCTTAAATTACTTGGTGGAAGCTACTCTAGGAGTCCTAAGTCTCCTGCAAGTTGCGGGAAAACGGGACGCCCTCTCACAGTCCGACAACCGGAAAATAATCCATCTTCTGCAAACCCATTAAATCTATATGCTTTTACTACTGCATCACAGAAGCCAAAGTCGATTGGTGATCACATATAAGTAGATGTAAATAAAGCTTTTTTTTTTTTATGATTTCTAGGAGCTGGTCTCCACAGAAGTGAAGGTAGAGTTTATTAACAGGTTGTCACAGACAGGGCTGCCAGTCATTGAAGCTACCAGTTTTGTTTCTCCAAAATGGGTCCCCCAGGTTTGTAATAACTCTGTCTGCCTTGTTACAGGTAGTTGGGTTAAAATATTTTAGGATTTTTTTCTTTTGATTAATATAACTCCATTTCAAGAGACTCATACTTCTACTTGACTTATAAAGTATAAAACATTTTACATGCTTTTGATTGTGAAAGAAATAATTAAAAAAATATCATTATGGTATGCTGTCCTTTTTGAGGCATACTATTGAAGTTATTCATTTACAACTTGTGTTTTTCTCCAAGATGGCAGATCATAAAGAGGTGATGGAGCAGATTAGCAGGCATCCCTCTGTGAAATATCCTGTCTTGGTTCCAAATTTGAAAGGCTTTCAGTCGGCAATAACAGCAGGAGCGGAGGAGGTGGCCATATTTGGTGCAGCATCAGAATCCTTCTCTAGGTACAGTAGTCATTGATTTCTTATTTACACATTTTAAGTACATTGACCGTTTCTTCAGTGCAATTAGCCCTGTTTAGCTTGCACCTAACAGAATGCACTACTATCTTGTTATATTCATATACTTGTTTGTAATGCTATTTTATTTTCATTTCAATAATTGTATTGCTATTGTAGTGTCTGTGCCCCTGAGTTGAGATCCTCGGCTGGTACTATCTCCCAGAACAAAGAGAACCCGGTGCTTGTCAACAGCAGGGTTGTTCATACACCCCTCTATAGGATCGAACTTCCTGATGCTGCTTGATTCTGTCGATTATCCATGTATTTGTTCAATAGTGCTTTACACCAAGAAACAACTCCAAATCACTCAACACAAATGCTATATGATGGAACATAATTGCGTTTAAATAATTTCTTATCAATTTATAATTGCAATGCAATAACTTCCTTACAAATTACTTATTCTTACGTAAATATTACTTAATTTTTAGGAAGAATATAAATTGTTCAATTGAGGAAAGTTTAGACAGATTTGAAGAAGTAATGGATGCAGCAAAACAAGCTAACATTCCAGTAAGGGGTTACGTATCATGTGTAGTTGGTTGTCCATATGAAGGGCAAGTGTCACCTAGTGCAGTAACTAAGGTACTTAACAGATTTCATTGGTTGATATTTTCTGTAATTTTAAATGAAATGTAGACAAGACAGTTATATATATCTACACATTATAAATATTATTGTTATTTGTACTATTTTTATATTATTATATTATTGTTGCTTATGCAGTTATCATATAATTGTTTATTATATTACCATATATCCTTGAGTGTAAACCCACCTTGGGTATAAGCCCACACCCTACTTTATGCCCAATATTATTAGAAGCTTAGCTGTCTCTCACAAACACTCTCATAAAACATCTTTGAAATAGGCATGTAATGCTGAAAAGGAGATTTTAAATGTTAATAGATAATTTTAGTGCCAACAATGATGCATTTCCTAGGTAGCAAAGAGAATGTGCGATATGGGTTGCTATGAGATCTCACTTGGAGACACTATTGGAGTAGGCACTCCATCTGCTGTTCAGAGGATGATATTTGCCGTTATGAATGAAATTCCGGTGGATAAACTTGCCGTCCATTTCCACAACACTTATGGTCAAGCTTTAGTTAATATATTAGCTGCCTTGCAGGTAAATTTTCCATGTTTTTGTTTTGTTTACATATTTATATCACTATATATATATTTAATATATGGTTTGAATTTACTTGAAAGATCATCACTTAGAATATTACAAATTATGTACCTCATACATAGATTCTAGGCATCTGTTAAGAAGCAGGCAATAGAAAGTACTATTCCTCCGAAAAATAGTACTTTTTTGACCTGTTGCATGGTGCAAACTCTAGGCCCTACCATTGCGCTGATGGTAGAGGGGACTGCGAAAGTAAATGGCCCTTGACCATGCCACGGATCAGAGTAGACGATAAACAATAATTATGGAGGCTGTTGGCATGAAGGACTAGCCTAACCCTATACTTCTTGACGAAGCCGATAGCAAAAGCACCAAAAGACAAATTAACTATGGTTTTGTCAGTAGTCGACAAATATTGCAAGATGATGGGTTGAAATTGAGGAAATGAGCAAAGAAAAGCTAGGCCTAGACACACTCTTTGATCGCCTAGGCCCTAGTTGGGCCTCTAGACTAGGCTAGTAAGTAAGTACTTTTTTTAGGCCTTGTAGAATCTATGTATGAGGTATGTAAAACAAATATTGACTACTCTAGACTCGGGGAATGGTGAAATCTATTGTCCCTCGGTGATGTGGAGACATCTCCACATCACCTCGGGCAATAGATTTCACCATTCCCCTCATCAGCATTCAATATTTGCATAATATACTATAAACAACTTGGCCGCCCCATTTTTGTGACTGTTCCCAGCACCAGTGACAAAAAAATTGTTGGGAATACCCATATCAAGGATACCCCTCATGATAAATAATTCATTGAGATCGTGGAAGCAATCACGACTTCAGCTTTGTTCGGATTCAAGGGTGGTGGGGGCCTAAATTGTTCAAATTTTTTTTTAATGGAAATATAAAGAAAATTATATTCAAATTTTAATTTTTAGTCTGAGAGAGTGCAATTTCCGGCGATCTAGAGGTGCCATAATCAACAATTTTCTTACCTCAGCCCCAACCATAGTGGGGCTGAGGTGGTATAGATCCTCCATCTGTGAAAGTACCCTCTCCAGGGTCCCCTCTATTTTGAATTCCTGGTTCAGCCACACAAAATTACAATAATTATGAAGTCATATTAGAGTAGCTTGATACCTATATGAAAATAACTAATAAAATTCTGTAGCTTCCCCCTGGACCCCTACCGGGGGGCCCTTGGCGGCCCATTTACTCCCAGCCTAGTTGCTCGCTTCGCTCGCATGCTGGACCTTATGAAATGTCTCTCCCCCCCCCCCCCCTTGC